ACTTTACTCAGCAGCCGAACACGAAGAACGCTCATATTTGTTAACAGTTCTAGTCCGATGTAACACTGAATGGCTTCATTGGATAGGAACATGATGATTGCTGCTATTAATAGGTCAAAAGGACAATGTTCTTCGACATAAACAACTTTAAAACGCAACAGCTGCTTTCGTAGGACACTCACGTAGTACTCAAAGAAGTTGATGGAGGAAAAACTTTTCTTTTTACAGTTGGGGCGATTTCGGTAGTGAGAAGTGATGCTGTGAACAGGAAGAGGGCATCCGGCTGCAAATTCAGGATTTGATGCAGTTGTCTAGATTTTGAGGATCCACAAAGTCAATTGAGTGACCCTTCTTCGGTTACGTGCGTGCTCTGAATTTTTGAAAGTCCCTAGGCTGTGGAGACGCTTGGAATATTAACAGATTGCTCTGATCCAATCCAGACTTTGAGAAAGGCACGGAATAATTAGATAATAAAATTTTAATAACGACCTCCTGAGGGTCCAGAACAAACTACATCAAGTTACAACCATCCCGAAATTTATGGAAGCCCGTACTTGGAGAAAACCAGGATCGCTCAAGCGTGTATTCCTCGATCGTTCACCCAACCGAGAGAAAACTGTTAAAAAGTCTCACTGTGCAGGAGCAAAGCTCAGTCACTGTTGTTCCCCTGGGAAAAACAAACAAGAAAGGCTCTCCTTCGAACACCTTCCTGCCGGCCAACTGATATGTTCCCTTAAACAGTTGGAAAGAAGCGAACTAAAAAAGCCAATTAACTTCCACCAGTTGTTTGAGAGTGTATGTGTTAGAGAGGTAATAAAGGTTGCCTTAGCGGTCTGAATTCAAATTCAACTCTTGAACATTTTTGTTGTAAGAAAAAGTAAGGGAAAAAAGTTGATCGGAAAAAACGCATGGTACCAGCACATGATGGATCCAATCTTAGGATGACGGTAGTCGGTCACCGGGGCTGGTAGATTAATACCAGACTTGTCTGGAGGATAAAAATATTACTTGTACATTCGGCTGGTCACCTTCATGATTAGCATCTTTCATCCTTACCAAATGCACTTACACTACGTTCCTATTCTTTAGCACGGCTGCTTTACTACTTCACTTTTTTACTTGAAATTAAGCGAAACCTGTGCCTACCTAGTGCAGGTAGAGGCATCGTCCCTTACAATGCACGCCTAGTGTGACTTGGCAAATTTGATTATTTGATTATTCGGTGGACGATTCGAATTTGTTGGGTTGACCATTGGAAGTGAACATACACGACTAAAGGACGGAATGAGGGCAAACATATGCTATTACCAAGGAACTGGCAGTATCAGGGAGCTTGCATTACCCCATCATTGCGCGATATGGGCGAAGCATGGAAACTCGAACGATGATCTTTCTCCTTCCAAGGTCAAGTTTTGGAGGCTCTGCCACTGATTGCTTTCATTGCTTCAGGCTTCCACAGTACCATTCTACAGGAGATTCAGTCTTATAAATAATATCCACCAATACTATCAATACGACGGTATTCATCGTTGAAGCTCGTATAACTTGGTATCTTTTTCTTTCTCGCGCGTATGAGAAATGTTTTTCGGATCCATGTGTGCCCTCCTCCCAGAATAACTGAACCTTTCATTCCTTTTAGATGATTTAATGCTAGTTTTCTTCAAGGTTCGCCTGGGAGGTTGAGAGCAGTGATTTGTAGGACGACTTCCTACTGAAAGTCATTGTATCAGCTACGTATCCGATTCCATTAGAGTCAAATGCGGGAAGCATCCCACAGCAGACTTGAACAACCTCGAGAGAAATCATCCTCATCCCCGAAAATGAATGATAGCTGTGCAGTATTCTCTTCATACATTTTCTTCAGTACTAGCGAAGACAGTGAAGCGTAATAATAGTTTATTGTCTATAAGTTATGGTTAGAAAGCATATACTTTAGCTAGTAATCGTTACAAAATTGAGCCGTGTGATTTACAAGTGAGGAAGTCCGTGTTTGGCAAGTTGTTTTTGGCATTCTTCGTTGAACAATGTTCCGAGTTTCTCCCATGCTGCCTTCTGATCTGAACTCAGAGCGGCTCCTTTGCTTTCCAAGAATGCTACCCAGACGCCCCAGAATGCCTGAATAGAATAACCGAAGTTTGATGTAATTGGCACTTCGAGGTCGACTTTTTTTATAAATCAGTAATATCGGCTAGAAGTAATGATAAAGCAGTAGCAGCCGAGAACCACTGACCTTCCACAAAGCAGGATCAACTCCTCTGCCAACATGTCTGTCCATCAGATCACGGCAAAAGGCACGGAAAACCATATCCTGGAATTTTTGTTTACTAACAGTTTCCACCCCAAAAGTAAACAAATCTCAAAGTCTGACACTTACATTATCATAGATGTTGGCCAGAATATGAACGGACATCAACAGACCAGTTCCAAGTTTTTCAAATCTACAAACAGAATGTGAGCTTTGAACCCAACATTTTCACTGTCGAGACCTTTTATTATAACTAACCTGTCGCTTTTCTGGATGTCATCAGCGGTGAAGTTCTCAGCACCTTTGAAGTATTTCCTTAGGTCTTGATGATGGGTGAAGAAGCTGAAGCAATCATTTGATTTGGCCTTTGAAGTGGCACAAAACGTAGCCATGGAAGGCTATGAATGTTTGAAAAAAAAACTAGTATTCTACTTACTATTTGTAGAAGTCTTTGCCATTTTGTACTTCATTTGGTGCCCTCCCGAGGGGAACACATCCCATGGAAGCGAGGCAAGCTTTTTTGACGTCAGCCATTCTGGAAATAGAAGGGCGCTTAGNNNNTTAGGGCATGAACATGGGACTCATGATTCGGGTATGTGAGGAGTAAGAAATGGGGTCGCTCTATTACGATCGGATGGGTGTACGTGTTACAGAACTCTTTCGTTCAAATTGGGGTAGTGCAACGACTCCTCCCTAATTTGTGCTGAAGTACAATTTTCAGAAACTGATGAGGTCTACAACACTGAAATCTGGGAATTTTCTGATGGCCCTTTGCACTGCCTCAAGCCACCTGGAGAAATCTTGGGATGATGACTAGTACCCTGAAGAGTAGGTACAGTTATGGTAGGTGAACGAATGACAGTTGGGTAACGACGAATGCTTTTAACCCCAGACGACCAGTAAGTGTTGCATGGAGCTTGGAATTGGCATTCAACCTAGAGAAGCGAGCTGAAGAAGCTGAGAGGGAAAAACTGCTTGTTGGGGTGTTCTACAGGTCACTTATACCCAACAGAAAAAGGAGGTCCATCAGCTGCTGTTTGACCTGTCTCGAAATGTCACATAATCTTCTATAAGCTATCATATGTCATGAAAGACTGTTGAACTTGAACTTTTCTTAGCCTCGAAGAAAATTTTCATGACAGGACTTCTATTTTTGTTTCTGAAGAGGTTCTTTATAGGCCCCTGTCATGATACAATTCACTTTTGAAGATAGTTTCAGATGGGTGAAGTGGTGTTGTGGCAAGTGAAGAGCTGTCGCACACATATGGTCAAGAGATCGAATCCTCGACCGATACTCGCCTATGCCGACCAGGTTTTCCTCCCCTCCGGTATCGCTTTATTGACACAGGTTTCGTCTGAGGAGATAGAAGCAGTGACTCGAACATTTGCTGACCACCGCAAGTCCTTGTTTGGCCTTGTATGCATTCAAAACGCCACAACGAGCCTGAATGGAAGTCGATTGCGGTGGCTCATTCCCAAACCGAATTAATCAACGATAAGGGCTCTATGCTTTATCCAACGGGAGGAGTTCCGTGAGTGTGTAGGATGGTTTGATCCTTAACCACCTACTCTGGCACTTGACATTTGATGACTGCTTGCTGGGTGGTTGATGTATTATTGCCTTCTATTCAATCAGGTTCTTACTCAGTAAGACGAGTTATTGGTTTCCATGAAGTGGGTACTGACATTCTTGAAGGCACAGTTCACGATAATTTTGAGGAAACTCTTTCCAGTCGAAAAGCGGAAGTATAGGTTGGGAACAGTTCATTGGTAGTGAAGAAAGCGAGAAAATTTGCCGATTTCGAAAAAAATAAGACTCTCCAAAAGTAGGGAAAAAAGTGGTTGGACGAGATTACCATGACGGAANAAGACTGTTGAACTTGAACTTTTCTTAGCCTCGAAGAAAATGTTTATGACNTGAAGAAAGCGAGAAAATTTGCCGATTTCGAAAAAAATAAGACTCTCCAAAAGTAGGGAAAAAAGTGGTTGGACGAGATTACCATGACGGAAAAAACATGAAAGGGGTATTCGGACGAGATTTCGGTTGTTGCAATTGCGCAAAGAGCTGACTACATCAATCCAGAACTGTACAGAACTGCCTTTCACTGCAGCTGTGGGTCATGACAAGTTGTTTGAACATCCTTCACGGGTTCGTTTGTGATCTGTGCAGCCTTACAATGCCGATAAAACCCGTCCGAGGATACACATGAGCCAATTTTTGAGCCTTAGAACGCCCTAACTTGGTCCTTTTCCGACATGATAGGGTCAGATATAGTATATGAGGGGACCTCAAATTCATCCAATGGGGAAGTTCCACAAACCATTTCATCGTGAACTGTGCCTTTGAAGGTAAGGTATGAGGCACTAAGGAATGGGTCAGATTCCATCGATTTGTTTTGCTGCACCAACACGATTGATAGGTGAAACTTACTTGTTTGTCTGAGTTCCGACCAAACCAGACAAACCTTGAAAAAATCCTTTCAGCACCTTGGAGTGGACCGAAGCCACCGCCGGTTACCTGCAAATTAGTAGTGAATCATGAGAAGATTGCCAACAACAATTAACTGAACGGAAGTGGCGTCGATCCTCCTGCTTGGTGACAGACGTGCTTTTGAAGTAGATTATCTGGTGCAAACATCAGGTCAACATTAAATATGTAGCTCAATCTAGCAAGCTTATCGGCACAGGGAAACAATCAAATTAACATCGATGCCGAGGTTTTGTGAAGGGGATTTCGAAGACTATATAGAGCGTCTTTTTACTATCACTACCGGTAGCCTCTTAAGATATTGAAGTTAAGCTCTATCGGGAACAACTGTTAAAGAAACTCCGTAATAAATATTTCCGCCTACAAACCTCGAGGCAGAAGTAAAAACTAACGATTTGTTAAAGAAACTTTTGCCGACAAACTAGTTGGTGTTGTATTTCAGAAGAGGCGGTCGAGAGGACGAATATCGAGCTTGTCTCAGATGATAGGAGCTTGACATGGCTGTTGAGGACGACAAAGCAGAAGTCGATGACCTTCTTCATTGCCCTTCGGAGATTTGAAAGGTGAGCTTTCCCATTCTTAACGTTGGAACAACAACGACAACTTGGGCAAAATCCTTCGATGGGAGTGAGGTGCTCCGATCTACTTCAAACTGCATACCGTGTGGTAGCAAAGTGAAGTTACAATGAGAAGATTTTGTTTGATAAGTCGAACACTTGAAGATCTTCTCCCTCCTCATTCAATTTCATTCCGTGGAATCTGTTATTGAGTCCTTCATCGGCTTTTTGGGAAAAACCTCGGATGGGATTTGGCTGAAGGCCGAGGGAGGGAATGAGTGGCAGAGTTCTTCAACTTTGATCAAGCCCGTCAAGGGATTCCCCGTCCCGATTCCGTCAAGGGATGGATCGATTTCCATCAGTAGTAAAGTTTGAATGGAAAAGTGGCTTATGCATTAAGTTGAGGGGAACAACTGTATACAAACCCTCGTTAACCATTAACCAATCCTGAAAGCATGGAAGGCGTCAATCCTTTACGTACATACACCCGGACGGTAGATGCTGGTGGATTACTCGGCACTACTTCGCCTTCATCCTTTCGAGTATAGAAAACCCCGAATTCTCGCAAAATAAACATTTTCCGACCGATAGAGGGGTTTAACCATCAAAGGTTGAATATATTATAGTATACCATACCAGAATAAACCATACCACCGTTCAACGCCACACCATACCGTACCGTAACACATCATAACATACAGTACTATATCATACCATACCATACCGTATCACACCATACCATAGCAAACCATGCCATACCTATACCATGCCATACCTTGGCAGAGAACATTACCATACTTTACCATGTCTTTACCACCCCAGAGCCTTACCATGCGTTACCTTATCCTATCATTCCTTACCATGACAAAACTGCAACCTCACTATGTTGATTTTGTAGTATCGCATTATATCATACTTTACCATACAGGTTCGCACCGAGACACACATACACACCTGAATGATTTCAAACATGGTGTCAAGAACATTAGACGTCTATAATGATTCCTTCGGCTAAATGCCGCTTTGTCGCTGATAGTACCGACTGATCAGTTTCCAAAATTGTGAACCTTCAATAATAAAATATCAAGTCTGTTGGGGTGCGCTGATATCAAATTCATAATAAACAGAAATAAAACCAAAAATTGTGTTCGTGTTTCAGGTAGGATCCTGTGTGATGGGTGCGATTAACTTTTTCATTTTAAACGAACTGAAATCATTCTGAGAGGAAGGCACTCATCGAAACTGTCAGCATTCTGATTTTCGTAGCCCTTTTGGCAAAGAAACCAAGCAGAACTTCAGCATTGATGGTGTTCCTTTCCAAGAAGAATAAACAGAGTTTCTTATATCAGGTGCAATCTGGCTGCCTTCGAGCTGTCGAGTTTCTGTGAGTTGAGACGTACATTCTTTGAAGTGTCTACTGAGATCGAGATACTAGGTAAACATATGGAGTATCGGCATTGAAGCTTCATATGAATCCAAGAAAAAAGCTTATGTAAACTCTCTGGCTCACCCTTTATTTGTAGAAAGCCCTTTTTGTAAGAGGTCCTTAGAGCTACAATCAAAAATGATGTTTATTAACCTGTGACTTTCTACAGTTTATAACGTGTCGTGAGCCATGGGCAGGTTCAGTCTTAACGCTGCCAGGATGGCTCCGACCCCTCCGATCCTCCTTCGGAATGTGATCATTCTTGCTCATGCAACAGACTTCCTACAAGCGTCGACTGTTGCTAGAGCAAAGACGATGCTTATACACCACTTTCTGATACCACAATTTGGCTCTTGATACAGATCACATCTTACCAAGAAAGGAGAATCATCTATACGATCGTTCATCCGCTGGTGGATGAATTTAAACACAAACTTTACAATGTATTCCTCTCTAACAATTTGATCCTGTTGAAAGGCNCCACTTTCTGATACCACAATTTGGCTCTTGATACAGATCACATCTTACCAAGAAAGGAGAATCATCCATACGGTCACTTATCCGCTGGTGGATGAATTTTAACACAAACTTTACAATGTATTCCTCTCTAACAATTTGATCCTGTTGAAAGGCCAGAGTGATATGCCTAGACAAGAACCCATGCTGTGCTGGAGGTTCACAGCACAGCATGGGTTCTTGTCTAGGCATATCACTCTGGCCTTTCATCCCTCCAGCAGCGTACAGTTGGTACCAGACCCTTTTGGGAAGATATCATCCCTAGTATGCATCCTGTGCCCTTTCCTAATATGAAGTCTATTATGAAGTGAAATGTGACTACAGATCTGAACGTGGATTGAAAACGTCTGTGAACCTAAAATTGGAACGATCAACCATTTATTACTCCTGCTCTTTTCGTGGGTGTTCTGGGATCGATCTTTCGCTGGTCTTCCCAGATGGTTTTGGCAATTTAGTCATTCGACTTTGAGCACGGTTCCTATTATACTGTCAGCCTTGTTTTTCTTGATTTTATATTTTCAAGAATTTCACTGTAGATGGCCCTGACATACACTTTCTTGAGTTTGTTGTAGACTCCCCTTCCTTCACTTTTCCTTTGAAGGTGCTCATTTTACCTAGAATCCTATTAGTAGCGCATTTCGAGTTATCGTTTAAAATAAAAACTGCAGCTGTGGTATCATCGAGAAGCACGAGCTATCTCTGTTTGTAAAAGTTGCTTGGCATACGATTTTTATAACATCGCTCGATTTCTTGCTGATCAAACGGAGTACTGTATATAAATACTCACCAGAGCACCACCCAACAGCCTACCTCTTCAGCTGTTTCAAGTTATCACTGCCAGGTGAACGACCAGGCAACCGAAGAGGTGCCTGCGGATGAAAACACCTTCATAGATGCCAATCTCTACTAGTTGACCTTTTTTCTTCTCAGTCTTCGGATTGATCTAAAACCAAAACTCACTGGTGAAATGCAGTTGTTCAGCTCTGCAACCACTACTCCTGGGCTATCCTACTACAGCCCATGATAAAGCTGCGAAAAATTCCAGTCACGGTTTTTTTCAATCATAATTTTCTGTTCATCCGAATCTGACCCTTTTCGTCTACTTGACTCCACCCTATTCCTCTCCAAGCAGCACGAATACAGCCTCCGACTGCTAAATTCTTTTTCTTTCAGAAAATGGCTGCCGTAAAAAAAGCTTGCTTGGCTTCGTTGGTAAACGTAGCACTCGGTCGAACACCGAAGGAGGCACAAAATGGCATAGACTTCTATAAGTAGTAAGTTATTATTGGATTGGGATTTTCAAGCACTTAAATCAGCTCTGGAATTTTCTATCCAAACTTCAGCTTGTTCACCAATCACCAAGACCTCCGCAAGTACTTCAAAGGTGCTGAAAAATATAATGCGGATGACGTCCAAAAAAATAAAAGGTTGATCATAGCTGACGATTTTTTGTGTAATTTTAGCCCTTTGAAACCAAAAGTCTTTTTAGATTCGAGTTGATTGGCACTGGTCTGGTGATGTCTGTGCACATTCTGGCCAACACCTACGATAATGTGAAAGCCATCTTGATTTCGAGTTTTCAGTCAAATCAACATTTTATTTGACTTATAAATAGAAGTACGCACAGTTTTCGAGCATAATTTGCTTTCTAAAATTTGTAGGAAATGGTATTTCGAGCATTTTGCCGGGATCTGATTGACAGGCATGTCAATAGAGGACTTGATCCCCACCTGTGGAAGGTTTGTGGCTACTTCGAGGGTTCCTTTTCTCTTTTTTGATAACAAATTTTGAACAGCTTCATAACTGGTAAAGGGGTATTGCCTAATCACGTCGGAAAAGTGTCTTACTCAGGAACTGCTTGTTTTCCCAGGTCGTCTTGGGAAAGGAATTCCTTTATTTAGTATGAAGTCACTAGTCATATCCCACAGTTTGAATTTATTTCTACAATCACTCAGTACAAGATAACATCCCAATTATGCTCTTTCAGTCATTCTGGGGAATCTGGACGGGATTTCTGGAGAGCAAAGGAACCACGTTGAACGCTGAACAGAAGGATGCATGGGACAAGCTGGGAACGATGTTCAACGATGAATGCCAGTACCAACTAGCCAAGCATGGACTTCCTCATACATAAATTGTCTCAGTACCGCAAATGGTGATTCTCAAAAATGGTATTAGACCACGCTGTGCTAAATAAAAAAAACATTTGTAAGAAAACACAGCAGGAGACAGCCACCGGATCGCAAAATAACCTTCCGATGGCCACTTTTAAAGCATTTTTTATGTAAGGATCCAAAATTGGCAACAACTTTTAATATTGACAAAAAAAACAGAGCAAAAAAATGCAGGTGAAGAAGAGTGAATGCAATGTAAAGATGCTGAATGAGTGGAAAGCACAGTTTTGGTTGCATACTTAGTTGTCATGTACGATCGCGATGGGTTGTAGTTTTCAGGAAGTCCCAGATGCGACTGTACTCCCAAAATTCTGACTGAAATATGCCTATTTCGATTTGTCTATCTCTAATTTTTCTACTTCACTCTCCACAGACAGCCACAGAAAATACGGCGAACATACTAAAAAAAAAAGTAAAGAATGTGGTTACGGCACTGCAAGGCAAGCTATTATACTTTACGAATTGAATCCCGGATCGATACCCGCCCAAGTTCATCGAGTCATCCGACTCTCCGGGTCGGTTGACTGGTGACAGACTCATTTGATAGGAAGAAACCACTGACTCGTGAGCTGGCTGACCAGTCTAGGCCATTGTCTAAGTCATTGTATAGGTCACAACACATTCGAACGTATCTACCTTTGAAAATGGATGTTGAATAGTTTCCGGCATCTCACTCTCGAGTTCCAAGTTAAGAAAAAACTGTATTTCTGATTTTCATTCATACCACTCTGAAGTGGTTTTATGACTTCTGTGAATTTGGTAACAAAATGGGGAAACCATTCAGTGTCGATTGGTTTCCGATAGGAGTATATCGCGGCTCTTACTAAGAGTTCTGATAGCAGTTGAGAGCCTTTGCTGCCTAGCGGATATTTTATTATTCAGTTATTTTGAGCGAAAAACCTCTGACTGCTTTCCCGAAATAACAATTGAGACCAATAACCCAAGACCATAGGACGTTGCATGCCCGTTACTGGTCGGTCTACTTGAAGGATGTCACTTTGAGTTTTTGTCAATGTTGAAGAGTTTTGACGGTCTGTTTGCGTAGGGGCAATTTTCTCGTCAAGGCCACTTTTCCCGAATTATTTCTCGTTTGAAGAGCGTTACGTGAGATCGAAGAGGAACTGCGTCACCACAAGGAGCAGCCATGAACTGCGAAGGCAACGAACGGAAACTAGTACGCATGAGTTTTCGTTGATTTCTCACTGGAGACCAAACATTATTACGATGAGAACGGTTTTTACCGACGACCTCTCGTGATTCGATCACAACAGCAAGAACTGGTTGGTCGTTTCAGGTGTTGTAGGCCATTGGAACGAGGCCCTCCATAGGAACATATGGCCGTGTCGTACGACAGTATTATTGGATAAAGGAACAGCTAAATGACAATTCTATAACTGCACTCAATTTCCGTTCAGAATTGAGGGAGCACTTGGATGCTTATATCGTTTGATTAGAGTAGCAATCCGGGAAATTAGGGCCAAACTACTCAGTCCCTCGTCCTTTTCGGGTCAAGCAGCCGTAACAGATTCGTCCGAGAGTTTTCGATATTAAAAGGTCTCGTCGCAAGACTCGATTTGTTCGACCGGGTTTGTTCAGATTCTTTTTTTTCCGAAGTCATTCGTTTCAGAAATAAATCTACAACATATAAATAAAGCGGTGGTTCTGCTTATACCCAATACCACCATGGGTTTCAGTTGAAGTACCTTACATGTCATTCCTGCTCAGATTCGTCAAGAGCTCGTTCCTCACTCTGCTTTCGGTCAGTTCCCAATTCACTTCCTCTACAACCTACCTTCCCCACAAGGTGGAACTTTGCCTATAAACTAGCAAATGATTTTAGCGGTGCACCCTTGACCCTGGCTCCAAGCGCAACACTTTCGACCTTGGGCTCTTTGTTCTTCGAACTTGGCGGAGAAGCAACGTGTTTTCCCAAAAAACTTGCATTTGCTCCAAATTAACTCCGCTTAAAGACACTTCAAGTGAAATCGCATCATCGGCCGACCGATTGAAAGGGTGTGGTCGAGGGGAAGGGGGAAAACTTAGGATGAAGAGAGTCGAGAAGGGCTGGAGTAATTGAAGAGGTGATGGTTAAGCATGACAGTCCTAATATGAAAAGATGTCTGGAGAAGGAGGGCGAGGTTTCAGAACGAGTAATAGGGTTTTCAAATTTCTATTCATTGAGTTTAATGTCTGTCGCGGGCTTGTAGATTATATTGCATTTACTTCACATTAATTTTGTATACGTCTCCAATAAATAAATAAATGAGAAAGATTTACCTTGTATACCTAAGTATTGGGTTGTAACATAAGTTCGTAGAGTTTTTTCACAAAGATTTATTTGAACCAAAAAACAATAATTATAATNTGGTGTTGTAGGCCATTGAAACGAGGCCCTCCATAGGAGTATATGGCCGTGCCGTACGACAGTATTATTGGATAAAGGAACAGCTAAAAGACAATTCTATAACTGCGCTCAATTTCCGTTCAGAATTGAGGGAGCACTTGGATGC